ATGCTAGGTCTGCCTGGTCACAGCTGTGTCCCCAGGCCCCAGGCTGCATGCAGAAGGTGCTCACTAAATGCTTGCTGCTGAAACTAATAGTGTAGGCCCCTCCTCCTCGGAACACCCCACCCCCACCCACGCTGGCTCCTCCCAGTCGCCTGCCCTGGGTGAGTGGGGCGGGGCGATGGTGGGTTTAAGGCCGGGCAGCGGGAGGCCCCCTCGGATGGCTGGGTGCCCGTGGAGCTCAGGCTGCAGAATGGCTGCTGCCCGCCCTGTAAGTCCACTCACCTGCCACCTTGGGCAGTGAGGGCTGGGGCTCACCGCCCAGCTTGACTCCTCTCCTTGGTCAGGCTGAGGAGGCCGAGGATGGAATCCAAAAGGAGGAGAAAGAGGAGGAGAAGGCAGCCGCGGGGCCGTGCATGGGAGAGGAGGCTCTGAGGAAGGCCCCGGAGGAGGGCAGGCTGGACTTCCACCCGCTGCTCAGCAGGTAGGGCAGGCCCTGCCCTTGGCTTTGACCTCACTTCCTCATCGGGACAAGGCCAGAGCTGCCCTAAGACTTGGGCCCTGCTGGCGCTTTCAGCCTCAATCTAGCTGAGATTCCAAGTTCAAGGCCCTCACTGGTCCCCCAGTTTCTCAGGATCACTGTCCCCATCACCTTGTGGGGTCGGTGTTACAAACCCTACCTCCCTCTCGGCCCAGGAAGGAGCAGGACTTCGGGCCAACCTACTGCTGTGGAGGTGGGGTGGGGTGGGGCGCGCAGGTGGGTGCACTCTGCTTCCTCCTGCCCCCTCCCCCACCCCCAGGTGGGCTCTGTGGTTCTTCAAGAACGACCGCAGCCGAGCCTGGCAGAGCAACCTGCATCGGGTCACCAAGTTCAACACCGTGGAGGACTTCTGGGCGTGAGTGTCTGTCCCTCATGGAGGGGGCTGAGGTCAGGGGGCCTTAGCTGGGGATCTTTCCCAGACCCCACGCCTCCAGGGAGCTGCTGCCTATGCTGCTTTCCTAGCCCTTCCTGGGGTCTTGCAGCATTTCCTGGGGGCTGGGGCTTGGTGGGCTCTGCAGGGAAGTGACGGGGAGTTTGGGCTGGGTCACAGGCCCTGCCCCCAAGCCTTGCTGGGACTCAGGGAGAAAGCCTGGGAAGTGGGAGAAGTGAGGAGTGGACCGTGACTCTGCTGCTCTGTGCCTTGTGACCCTAGGCGAGTTCCTTCCCCCTCTGAGCTTGTCTCAGCTACTGAGTGAGTTGCAAGCTGTTTCAGTGTCTGTGGTGATCCCGTGAGGGGGTCTGCAAGGTGCTTCACAAACCCTAGGGGTGGGTAGAAGGTGGGATTTGAGGGTCTGGGTAGATGGGGATGGAATTTTTCAGCAGGGGGCCCCAGTATGGGCTAAGGCTTGGAGGCTGCAAGGTGGGTGGAAAGCAGTGGGGTAAGAAGTTGAGGGATCTGAGGCCAGTTGAAACCAGGCCCTAAAAAGCTTGGACTTTCAGCCTGGGGTGGGGGTCTCTCTCCAGGATATATAATAATATCCAGCTGGCCAGTAAGCTCTCTTCTGGCTGTGACTACGCCCTGTTCAAGGTAAGCTCGGCTTCCCCCACTCCCTGGGACACAGTGGGGCTGATTTCTTCCAAGCTTCCTCCCTCACAGGAGGTTTGACAGTGGGGTTAGTACCAAGGACAGCCTTCCTTGGAGCCAAGTATAACTTCCGGTTGGAGGCCTGCTGTACAAAAGCTGGGGCAGAGTGTCAGACCTGAGCCCCATCCTGAAGAACAGGGGGGGGGGGGGGGGAACAAGGGGGAGCAACGAAGGGGTCTAGGTTTCTGGCCTGGCTCTTTAACTTGGGAACACATCAGGAGTGCCTGAGGACTTAGTCAATGTCCAGGCTTGTCCTTGGAGGGGCTGGGCAGTGGGGCCCTGACGTCCATGTTTGCAGATTTCCCTAAGTGACTTGTACCCAGCGAGCCTGGGATGTCTGTCCCTGGCCACACTGGGGTTGCCCCAGATGCTTCCTTTAATCACCCCCATCTGATCTCTCATCTCAATGATCTTGGCTCAGCAAAGGAGACACACATCTATGCAGGGCTACGTGAGGCGACCTATATTGAGGCTTAGGGCCCATGGGAGCTCACAGGAGGGTCTGCAGGGCTGACCCTGCTTGTACTGAAGGGTGAAGACAGAAGATCTAGTCTGTGGAGGGGCTGGAGCAGGACCTGGGGAGGTGGCCAGGCACTCACTTCCCTTCGAACAAAGGGAGGTGGCTGATTCGCATACCTGCCTTCCAGGATGGCATTAAGCCCATGTGGGAAGACAGCAGGAATAAGCGGGGTGGCCGTTGGCTCGTCAGCCTCACCAGGCAGCGGCGTCACCCTGAGCTGGACCACCTGTGGCTGGAGACAGTGAGTGGGGGGCTGGGAGGGAGGCTGGGTGGGCAGGGTTCCCAAGGGAAGAGGCTGGGCTGGTGTGGTGGCAGTGGTCTCAAGGATGGTGGGGGCAGCTTCTGTGCCCACCAGGAGGCCTCATCCTTCTCCTTTTTGGGTCCAGCTGCTGTGTCTCATCGGGGAGAGCTTTGGGGAGCACAGCCGGGAAGTGTGTGGGGCCGTCATCAACATCCGCGCCAAGGGGGACAAGATTGCTGTGTGGACACGGGAGGCAGAGAACCAGGAGGGCGTGCTGCACATTGGGTGAGGGGTATCTCTGGCACAGCGTGGGGGCTGGGCCTCTTCTAGCGGAGAAGGTGGACGGGGAAGGGCTTGGCCTGCAAGGGAGACCTCCAGAATACTCCATGCTGTCTCTCCCTTCTTTCTTCCGCAACTTGTGCAAAGGGCGTGGAGTCTAAATTTCCAACTGTTTCTTGAAGACCTCTTTTCTTTTGCATTAGTCACATTTCGGGTTTCCACATGGGTAAGACGCACACAACAGGAGTTACTGTGGCTGGAACCAGGGTAGGGGCTCTGGGCATAGGACCCATGGTCCCAGGTTAACTGCAGGACCCGCTGCTGACTGCCTGTCTCCCTTCCTCTCCCACTTACCTCCCAGGCGTGTCTACAAAGAGCGCCTGGGCCTCTCCACAAAGACCATCATTGGGTACCAGGCCCACGCAGACACAGCCACCAAGAGCAACTCCTTAGCCAAGAACAAATTTGTGGTCTGAGCCTCCCATTGCTGTGTGTATTTATTTCTCAAGAGGGCTGGGCTGGGCTGAGGGCAGATGCCATGTTTCTCCCCTATCCTGGGGCTCAGGCCTCTGGGTGAGAAGCCAACTTAAGGGCCTACGGCAGTGGAAAGGTGGAGAAAACCCTGGGCTTTTTTAACCCTGGGGGGCTGGGTTGTGTAGTGTGGTGAGGTGAGTCATTGGTAGAGGAGGTGGGACAGCAAGCAGGAAGAGAACAGGAGAGAATCCTAGGATTCAGGACTAACTCCATGCCCCCCACCTTGGGGAAAGAAGTTAGGTGTTCTGAAGGCCAGTCTCTTCCATTTGGGGGAGGGGGGTTCAAGGCCACTGACAGAGCTGGAGCTCAGGGACCGGGGTGGGGGCTCTGAGTGATCACTCTGCTTTAAAAACTTTTATGGGTTGCCTCTCATCAGATTTGTTAGCCTTGGAGTCTATGCTTTATCCCATACCTTCTCTCAGCCAGCTGTGTGTGGGTCCCTAGAGTAGGGGCTGCGGTTGATGAGGGCCTGGCCCAGGAGAGGTGATTAGGCCTTACTGTGGCTCTGCCAGAGGTGAATTAACCGGAAGGTGAAGTTTAAGCCCCTTTCTGTTCCTCTTATAAATAAATACTTTAAACAAGACTGGAATTTTTGAAAAATCTTTTTTTAAAGTAATTTCATTTATTTTGGCTGTGCTGGATCCTTGTTGCTGCGTGGGTTTTTCTCTAGTTGTAGAGAGCGGGGGCTACGCTCTGGTTGCGGGGCACAGGCTTCTCACTGTGGTGGCTTCCTTGTGGAATATCGGCTCCAGGGCGCCCCAGCCTCAGGGTTGCAGCTCTGGGGCTCTAGAGCACAGGCTCAATAGTTGTGGTGCATGAACTTAGTTGCTCCGTGGTATGTAGGATCTTCCCAGATCAGGGCTCGAACCTGGGTCTCCTGCATTGGCAGGAGGATTCTTTATCACTGAGCCAGCAGGGAAGCCCAAAATTGTAATTATTTTTAAAGAGGACTCTAAAGTTCTCCCCCCTAAACTTTGGTTTGCTCCAGTCCTGCCTTGAGAGGGCTCATGTGAGACCCCTTAGGTAGCAAGGAGCCCGATCAAGGTAGACGCTGGTATGGGGAAGAGGGGTTAGACGGTGCGGGGCGGTGCTTCAACCACCAAAGGGGTTTGAACTGGGGGCTGCGATATATGCCCCCCGGCAAAACTGAAGGGGCAGGGAGCAGCAGGCGCAGCCCTCACAAGACCAGGTGTCATCCCGTCTGAGTTTGAACCAGTAGAGACAGAACTGAATTTCCGAGTGAGAAGCACTTCTGATTCGACTCCGCCGTAATAAAACGTCCTGCACGTGTGCTTAAAAAAAAACACCATCCATATAACTATTTTCTTTTCGCTCACCAACGCGGTCGTTACTACTCTTCAGGGATGGGCACTGACCTCAAGGCCGGGGATTGGGGTGGCGCTGATACTGATCCTTGTGGTGTCGGGGAAACTCGGGGTCTTTCGTGCCTGCGACTTGCGGAGCTTTCAGCAAGCATCTGAGGTGGGCTTGAAGGACGCCGCAGCAGTCAGCGTAAGCGGCGGAGTCAGGCCTAGAGGCGGGGCTCCGAAGGGGCTAAGTCGAGCTGTGGGGAGGGGCCTGAACTTGGGGTGCCGTGTCTGTGTGGGGGCGGGGCCCGGAGGGGAACGGGGGGGCGGGGCCAGACCCAGAGGCAGGGCTCCACAGGGGACTGAGGGGGGCTAGGGGCGGAGCCTAGGGCGGGGCGGAATCAGGCATAGAGGAGGGGCTCTGAGTGGACCGAGCCGGGGCCGTTCTGGCGCCGGGGGCGGTCCCTGCGGGGGCGGGCGGGGCCCGACGGGCTCTCTGTGTGGCCGCGGCCATGAAGCCGCAGCCGCCGGGCTAGGCCCCGGGCGGCTCTAGCCCAGGGCGGCCCGCGGAGGGCTGGGCCCAGCCTCCGGGCCCGGTTGCCGGGCCGGCGTGCGGCCACTCACCATGCCCGGCAAGCACCAGCACTTCCAGGAACCCGAGGTCGGCTGCTGCGGGAAATACTTCCTGTTTGGCTTCAACATCGTCTTCTGGGTGAGAGCGGGGTGGGTTCTGGGCCCTGTGCTGGGGGTGGCGGAAGGAGGAGGCTCAGTCCCCTACTTGGGGGAGACACTCTTTGCCACAAGGCCTTGGGACCGTCCCCCAACTTCTTCCTCCCCTTCCCACCTCCCCGTCCACCCTCTGGAGCACCTGAGGGAATTAGAGGCCTGGATTGCAGGGGGAGGGTCCCAGCCACTGCGGTAGTAGGATGGGGAGGGGTAGTCTTCCGGGGTCTTTTCAGGGCTTAGCGGAGAAGTGGCAGGTGTTTTGGTGAAGACCCCGCGGCCCTGCTTGGTGCGGGTCGCCCCCCTCCCTCGCTTACCCTGAGGTGTAAGGGCTCCGCGGAGCCCCACCTCTGGTTTTGCCGGTAGGGAGGAAAGCCTCCGCGAAGGGCTGGATTCCCTCTCCAACCCTTTTACTGCTCCAGTACCTGGGCCTACCGCTTCGCATTAAGCTCCTACAAAGAGGCGGGGGGGGGGAGGGGCGGGAATAGGTCAAACTCCCATCCCCAAACTAAGAGGCTTGCAGGCAAGGAGGGCTAGTCGCCCTAGTTCTCGGCCGAGGACAGGGGGATATTCCCTAATGAAAGGCCGGGAGAGCTTTGGGGAACAGAATTCAACATTCCACAGCTGAGGAAATCGAGGTGTCAGGGCCAGGCTGTCTGGAGAAGGGAACTGCTGGTGCCCCTCCCAGGGCGGAATCCGTACCCCTGGGGCTGCCAAGTCATCTTTCCCTTCTCCCTCCCCCATCCCATCTCTCCAGGGCTACTTGCTGACTCTTCAGTCTCTACTCCTGACGCCTTGGGTCAGAATGTCAGGCCTACTCAGTTTTGTTTAGCAGGAATCAGTGGCACTGCCCTCTGCCCACAAGCTGCTCAGGCAGTGTGGGTGTCCTTTGGCCCCTGCAGTGCCACAGCCTCGAGAGTGTGGGCCATGTGCCGCGGGCTCGTCTGGTGGGAAAGTCTGGGGCTCTGGTTGTCTCAGGCCTAGCTGTGAGACAGTGGGCAAGTCACTTCTCTCTAGGCCTCAGCTTCCCTGAGAGGGAGTGGGGGATGATGAAGCCTGCTTCTCAGGGCTGTTAGGCAGATGACATGGATTATAACCTACTGTATTCTCACAGTTACTTTAATTATAATCTACATTTTATAGGTGAAGGAACAGGCACAGAGAGGTTAAGTCACTTAACCCAGAGTCACACAGCCAGTAAGTGCAGGGCCAAGGGGACAGCTCAGTGGGCAGTAGGTGGAGGTGAGGCAGAGCACTGAGCAGAGGGGGCTGCCAAATGTCAGGGTGGGAGAGGCTTGAGAGACCCAGGCTTGTTCCAGGCTTCCCCAGGATGGGACTCCAAGTGTGAAAGGCCCCAGGGCTGGGGCAGAGTTTGAGTTTCACGTTGAGGGCAGTGGGGATGGATTTGTTTCAGCTTCTGTATTAGAGGCAGATCTGCCTGACTGCCACAGGCAAGGAGACCAGGGAGGCGGCCTAGGGCAAAGGAAGGGTGATGGCAGGTGGACAAGCTGAGGAAGGTTTCAGGGGAAGTTATCAGGCTGAATTGACAGGACTGGCCCAGAGCACCCTGTGGTGTCTGGCTTGATGTCTTCAGTTTGTCCCTTGCACCACCATCCATGATCTTACCTCAGGGCCTTTGTCAGTACTTCGGCCTGAAATTCAGTTCTTCTGCCTGGAATTCAGTACTTTCACCTAGAATTCAGTATTCCTGGAATTCTTTTCTCTTCAATGCCACTTTTCATCATTTAGGCCTCAGCTAAAATGTCACCGTGCTCCCTAACTGAAACATGCTCCCTCCCCACCCCCCACCACCCTATCACTTCCCATCACATCACCCTTTTTTTATTTTGTTTAAAGGCTCTGTTGGTATCTGAAACTACCTTGTTTGCTCACTGTGGGTTTCCCCCACTGGAGTGTAAACTCCATGAAGGCTGAGAGCTCATGTGCCCTTTTCACTGATGTGTTTTCAGTGCATGAAATGGAGCCTGGGACGCGGAGGCTTTTGCAACAGGCAGGTTGACTAAAGGCTCTAGAGCCAGTGAGAGGTTTGGGTGGAGATTGGGAGATTGCCAGTGTCATGATGAGGTGAAAGATGAGTTTGAGAAGAAGAAGGTAGGTGGGAGGTTGAGGTTGGAACCTGGTGGAGGAGGGGGTGGCCTTGTGCATGGCACCAGTGAAGCAGAGCCTTGTAGAAGAGAGGCTGAGAAGGGGCTGGAGGAGGAATGGCATTGCGTTAACCATGGGGAGGTTCGAAAAAGAGAAAGTACTAATCATTCACCTGTCTAAAGGCCATGGGCGGGTCAGATGGGATGAGGCAGGAGAAGTGAGGTTTGATTTCACATCCCAGATCTAGTGTGGGGGAGGGAAAGAAAAATATTTCTACAAAAAGAGTACAGCAGTGAGTGGAGCCTGGGGTCAGAAAGGGGTGGGTGCTAAAGGTGGCTGGCCAGGGGCGGAGTTGACTGAGGCTATGCGCTGAGGCAGCGAGGGAGCCTGTAGAGAAAGCAGGTGGGAGATGGAGGTCTGAAGAGGTAGGGTCATGGCCTCGGGCTTGGGCAGGAGGGGCGCTCTCCCTCTGAGACTAGATGTCCTGCTCGGGTTCAGGCAGCTGCCCTGAATATCCAGGGCTCGCCCTAGCACAGAGATGAGGTGGGATGGTGGGTGGTGTTTAGAAGGCCTAGCCCAGGGCCCCTCTGCTGATCTAGCTCTTCACTGGGATTCCTGGTCGTTCAGGGGTCTTTGGCTGTGAGCTGCTAAGATGTACTCTGGCAGATGGAGGTTGGAAGGGTGGGATGGGAGTAGGGTGGCAGTCACTGAATTGCAGGGAAGCAGGAGGACCAGACTTGGGAGGATACTGGAGAGGATGCCAGGAGCTGGGAACCCTACCATAGGCCTGAGGTGAAGGAAGAGGCTCAGGAACCAATCACTGCTGCTTGGTGGGACTGTTTGGCCCTCCTCTGCTCCAATTCTGAAGTTCCAAGAAGGGATCCCTTCTTAGGGCTGGGGAGGGTTCAGTGTTCCAAGCTGTGCCCTGTGAGAAGAAACACCAAGATGCAGTCTTAGAAAGATGGAAAAGACCCTGGATCCCATTTACAGCCCTTCCCCGTGGCTTCCTGAAGAGCCTGAGCACCAGTGGGGAGGGGGCTCTGCTAGGGATGAGAAATAATGCTGGTGCCGCAGCCCTCAGCTCTTTGCTGCCATTCTTGCAGGTGCTGGGGGCCCTGTTCCTGGCCATCGGTCTCTGGGCCTGGAGTGAGAAGGTAAGGCAGTGGGATATGGTGCAGGGCTGCTATGGGCTGAGATGGTGGGAGGGCCAGTCCCCCCCACCTGCCTCTGCTCCCCCTGCACAGGGCGTTCTCTCCAACATCTCGGCACTGACAGATCTGGGAGGCCTTGACCCCGTGTGGCTGTTTGTGGTGGTTGGAGGCATCATGTCCGTGCTGGGCTTTGCCGGCTGCATTGGGGCCCTCCGGGAGAACACCTTCCTGCTCAAGTTTGTGAGTGCCCTCCCACCTAGATTCACTGGGGACCCCAACCTCTTCCCACCCACTTCTTACATATAGTTCATGCTTAATAATGGTAGTTTTATTATTGTGTAATTTTAACAGTGGTCACCAGATTTGTATTATTAATACATTTATAGGATCCTCTGTTGTAAGTGGGGCTTCCCTGGTCGTTCAGCGGTAAAGAAGCCCCGGGTTCAATCCCTGGGTTGGGAAGATCCCCTGGAGAAGGGCATGGCAACCCACTCCAGTATTTTTGCCTGGAGAATCCCATGGACAGAGGAGCCTGGAAGGCTGCAGTCCACGGGGTCGCAGAGTCGAACACGACTGAAGCGACTAAGCAGCAGCAGCAGCTGTTTTAAGTGACCGAAACCTAGTGGCCTGGGCCCTAAGCGAAAATGGCCGTTAAGGAACCCCAGGGATGTGTTAGCTGCCAGCGCCGTTGGATCCAGGGGCCACCACAGTGTCACTTGGCCTAGCCTCTCTGTTTCTCAGCTCTGTGCCTCTGGGTTGGCTCCAGACTGCTTGGGGTGGAAAGATGTCCAGGAATCGGGGCGGGGTGGGGGGGGGGTACTGCCTTCAGGCCGCCCTCCCAGGAACTCCGCTGGAGGCTGAGCGAGTCTCTCCTTTCCCAGAACTTTCTGCCGAAGTTCTTTAATTGCATCTCCTTAATCCTGATTGGCCACCTCTGGACCAATCCCTGTGGCCCCAGGGGAGGTAGTGCTTTGATTGGTGGGCTCTTGATGCGTGCCTAGTCCTCTATATGGAAGTGGCTCCTCCGGAACCAAAGAAACTGGAGTTGTGCGTGGCGGGTGGCTTCTCAAAGACATTAGAGTAGATAAGAACAGCGCTATCTTTCCATCATAAATCAATACTAATATGGTAGAAGGTGGAGACTCTGGGCTGCCTTGAGTCAGGATGAGGGAGGTTGAAACCCCACTCAGTAGCAACCCCAGGCCCTGTATCTCTGATATCCACTGTCGGTCTGCTCCCCCACGCCAGTTCTCCGTGTTCCTTGGCCTCATCTTCTTCCTGGAGCTGGCAACAGGGATCCTGGCCTTCGTCTTCAAGGACTGGATTCGAGACCAGCTCAACCTCTTCATCAACAACAATGTCAAGGCCTATCGGGACGACATTGACCTCCAGAACCTCATTGACTTTGCTCAGGAATATGTAAGTCTGGCATCCAGCCCCAGCTACATACAGGAGGCATCTACCAGGCAGATGAATGAAGGAGCAAGTTCCCTGTGTGCTGGGACCGTTCCCTTGCCTACCAGACCAGGCAAGCCCCAAGGAAGAAAGCCAGGTGTCCCCCTGTCTGAAAGGAAGCCAGCCCTTGGTGATCTCCATGTGCCTAACCCTGCATGGACATGGAGCAGAGGCCAGAGGCTGCAAACTAGCAGCTCCTAGGACAGGCTTAGGACACACTTAAAGGAGGAATTGTGGCATGAAAATACCAATTTCTTCTTCTACTAAGCTGGGCCCACAGTATCGGCCAGGGCTACATTGCCACTGCCCCTTTGCTGGTAGAGAGGCTCTCTGCCACCATCCCTGTCACTCTATTTTAGTATACCTGTTGGCCCTCTTCTCTCACTTATATTATTTGTTTGGCCTCGTAGTCAGGTTTGAGACCTGCCCCACCTCCCAGAAGCTCTGCCCTTAAGCTTGCAAACCCAATCCCTGAGAAGAAGCAGTCAGTGAACAGTTCAAGAACTCTGAGACACCTTCCGCCTGCATGTTCTCACCCACTCACACACTTAGTCACACACACTCATAGTCGCACCCACTTAAACAGCCATGCTCTTTTGATGCCATCCGCCCCAAGAACTGCTCTGGGATCCAGAGGTAAACCAGAGCTGGTGCCTCTTTTGAGGAGCTCTCAACCCAGGGCAGAAGTAAATGAAGAGCCAGGTGGTTAGGATGTGATTTATTTGTTCATTTAACGCAGAATTGTGATGGACCAACTATGTGCTGGGTCCTGAGCTAGGTGCTGGGGATTCAGGGGTGAAAAAGAGCTGCTGCTGCTGCTGCTAAGTCGCTTTAGTCGTGTCTGACTCTCTGCGACCCCATAGACGGCAGCCCACCAGGGTCCGCTGTCCCTGGGATTCTCCAGGCAAGAACACTGGAATGGGTTGCCATTTCCTTCTCCAATGCATGAAAGTGAAAAGTGAAAGTGAAGTCACTCAGTTGTGTCTGACTCTTCCCGACCCCATGGACTACAGCCTACCAGGCTCCTCTGTCCATAGGATTATCCAGGCAAGAGTATTGGAGTGGGTTGCCATTGCCTTCTCCGGAAAAAGAGCTAGGACCTGTCTGTGCAGATGGTGATTTGGGGGAAGAGACAGATGATAAACAAGCAAAAGAAACAAATGTGTGTGTAGCATTATATATTGTGGTAAAGGCTGAAATGGGGAAGTACGGAGAAGGAGAAGGCCTCTAGGGGCTAGCCTTGGGGGAGGAGAGCAGGGATGTGATGAGAGGAGCCAGTGTTCTCCAGCGGGAGCAGGGGTGCTGAGCAGAGAGGAGGCAGGCAGAGCTGCATGGCTGTGCCTCCTTCTTTCAGTCCACAGGGCCTACCTGTGTCTGCCACTGAGTTGGTCCCTTGAGGGCCAGCTGTTTGGCAGCCTGTGCTGTGTCAGTGAGTTAAGGCTGCCTGTCTCCCCACTAGATTGTGAGCTGCTTGCTTCATTGCAGCCCCACTTAAGGAAGCAGCCCATTGTCTTGGATAGGGGTCATGGGGATACAGATGCCCACAGCAGCATCTATGAAGTGGGATGGGGGATGGTCATGAGGGTGGCAGGATTGCTCTCTTGTCCCTGGAGAGAGGAAAAGATAAGGTCTTTTGTAAAAATTGTGGGACAAGTGTAGGAAGACCAGGCCCAGATAGGGGCCTTCAGCCTCTCTGCAGGGTTTATTGAAACTCCCAACCCTCAAGGTGGCCTCAAGGAAGCCACAGTCCTTGGGCCACCGTCCTCGCCCACTCCCTTTTCTCAGCCTCTCTTGGGCTAGGGGGACAAGCTCAGGAGCCCCTTCCCACTACCCCCAGCCCCCATTAACCTGGGCAGGAGCCTCGAGCTGCTCTGATGGCCCTGGGCCCAGGCTCGACCTGTCGGTGGGGAGGTTCCCACCTGACTGGCTGTCTTCAGGCCACTGCCAGCCAGCCTGGGCCTGTCCCCAAACAGGATGGGGCTCCTGGGGCGGGCCTGGCTCACCCTGGCTCCCCTCCCACCCCCTAGTGGTCTTGCTGCGGAGCCCGAGGGCCCAACGACTGGAACCTCAATATCTACTTCAACTGCACTGACTTGAACCCCAGCCGGGAGCGCTGCGGAGTGCCCTTCTCCTGCTGCGTCCGGGACCCAGCGGTGAGTGCGCCTTGGCGAGGGGCGGGGCCCCGTGAGGAGGGGCGGGGCCTCAGCGCGCAGGCGCAGTCTGGAATGAGCCCACCACCCCCCTCGCCTCAACCCTGCTCTGGGGGCTACCGATGTCGGGGAAGCCCTCTTATGTGTAGTAGTAGCCCTGCTGGGCTGGGGAGTCTGTGTTGGTGGGTGGCATTGAGGTCTGCTGAATGCGGGCTGCTTCTCTTGCCCCGCCATGCTGGGGTGGCAGCGGTGAAAAGTTCTGAAACTTTCATGGTTTTCTTTAAGAGCAGAAGCTTCTTACAGTGACATCCCTCCAGTCCCAGGGCACAGGGACACTGAGGGCCATCCAGGTGGCAGGCGCTAAGGTATAAGGCCCTGGGTCAGGCTGAGCTTGGCACATTGGACTGAGGCAGGGCCCCTGGTGGCTGTGGGTGGGCCGAGCCGAGCCTGGTGCCCGTTTGTCCCCAGGAGCTGGAGCAGCAGGGCTTCATTCACACCAAAGGCTGCGTGGGCCAGTTTGAAAAGTGGCTACAGGACAACCTGATTGTTGTGGCAGGGGTCTTCGTGGGCATCGCCCTTCTCCAGGTACCACCATGGCCCTGCACAGCCTCGCTCTGTCCCGGGCAGTCTGCCCTCCCAGTGGCCCCTCCCTCACCTGCCCTCTGTCTTCCAGATCTTTGGCATCTGCCTGGCCCAGAACCTCGTCAGCGACATCAAAGCAGTGAAGGCCAACTGGTGAGGCTGCCACGCTGGCCATGGCCACTCGCCTGGCCGACCCAGGGACCCTCCACTCTGCCCATAATGGGCAAGGCTGCAGGAGGTGTTTCTGCTTGAAGCTGAACCCCACATGGGGCTCGCGGGCCACTGCACTGTGCACGCATGGAGAGCCGCACGGCTCTGCCCGGCTGCCTGTCCTGGAGCTGTGTATACGGAGGGTGGGTGCACAAGGAGCCACCGTCTGGGCTGCTGTTGGGTGGTTGGCTCTCCAGGGGACTAGGAAGGGCTCAGCTAGGAGGGGGCAGGCCAGGTGGGGTGGGCTTGGGGACTGCTGTTGCCTGTGACTCAGCCTCACATATCTCAGAGTTCTCTTCACTAGTGACCCTTCCAGGAGCCCACTTCAGCCTCAATGTCTCAGACTCTGAAATGGGTCCAAGAATCTTCTCTCCCTTGCTTGCCTCTCAGGATCAAATATGATGACGGCTACAAACTACTCAAATAAACAAATCCTTGAAAACCAGTGGCTTCCGCCCAGCGTCCTGAAGGTTCTGTCAGCTGCAGGGCCTCGGCAGAGCTCTCCACTTTGGGTCCTGGCCCAGACCCACTCCGCCAGTGCATTTTCTTGGTCTGGATAGTATATACATTTGAGCCAACCTTTAAAATGTGGTATACTTCATGTAAAAGTCCAGATCCCAAGCTTCTCGTGAAGATTGGCCATCCGGCCCCCGCGGCTCTTGGGACATCATCATCCCACGCGTGCTTCCTGTTCTCTGAGAGACCCACCTGGCCGGTGCTGCTCACCCTGTAGGCTGGGGTTGACCTCCCCTCTGCTGTAGGGTTTTCCCCTGAAAACACCTCGAGGCTGCCATGGGCCAAGCCTGGAGCCAGGCACAGGGATGTGAAAAATGGAGGCCACAGAACTTGGGTGGGGTCCAACCCCCCTGGAGACTGAGATGGGTGCCAAGGAGAATGGCTGAGGTGTGGAATGGAGATCAGGAAGGTTTGGGGAAGGAAATAATTGCAAAGCAAAAACTTGGCACCCATAGGGTTGCTGGGGAGCCTGCTTTGGGGCCCATGGTGGTTGATGCTGGGTCTCACTTGGAATCCAGTGGTGGCCTGCAGAGCTGCCTCATGACCACCAGAGGGCGCTCCAGCACAGCTTTGCTTGGGTCTGGCGACTTCTACTGCAACCTCTGGTACAGCCAAGTGGCTGGTGTGTCCACCCTGCTTACCAGTGCTTCCGATTCAGGGAACTTGAGGTCTTTGAGAAGAGTTCAGACTTGGGAAGTCTGACTGTTGCTCTCAGCTCTGCCTCTTAGCTGCATGAAGGGGTGTGTGAAGAGTAAGTGCTGCACCCATCCATCCAGGGGGTGCTTTGTGGATCAAAGGGATTTGGGGTAGTTCATAGATCTCCGGCTCAGATGCTCTTAAGGTCACATAGGTCATATAAATGAATGAAGTAGGCCTTTGACTTGTGAGGCCTTTGTAGTGCAACTGACTTTCCTGCTGTCCCTGAAGACCACACCGAGAGACATTGCTTTGTGACCAGAGAAATATTTGGGCCATTGAGTTGATGATGTACCTTGAGATACAACAGAGTATGGTGGGGACTGACAGCATAGATCCCCACCTGAACTTGGTGACTGTCATTTAGTTGTGGCTAATTGCTGTAAAGTGGGAATGCAGCTCTAATGTCAGAAATCCAGAGAAGCCAGGAATCAGGATTTTATGTGAAATAGACCTATTTTTAAGTTGTTAGCTAATGAAGAAAATTTAAATGCTGCAAGCCCAATGAAAGGTGTACAGCTTTGGCCCCTGTGACACTGCAGATCCCTCTGGGACAGTCATCCGCTGGAGTCCTGGCTGCTCTGCCATCCAGGGATGCTGAGAGCTGCTGCTGGGAGGGCAGGGTGTCAGGTATGCACCCAGCATCATAGCTCCCAGATGCCAGCTAGACAGTGTCCAGGGTCCCTGACAGGTGCCAGTGTACCACAATAAATGCAACTCACAGTATTGTGCGTGTCTTGCTTTTTTTTTTTTTAATTTCAAAAGCTTTCAGTTTTCATTTTCCCTTTAAATGTCAACAGCGCCCCTTGTGAGGTGGAGATTCCTTTCCTGATGAGGGAACTGGGGCTGGGTGGGGGGAGTTGCCCAGCACACAGCTGGAGGAGGCACCCAGCTCTGAGCCCTCTCACTGGAGGTCTGCATCAGACCTGTCCTGCCTTTCTGATGCACACGAGTGGCACCTGCACTCGTAGGAGCAGCAAGGTATCATTTCCCAAGCTTGAGTTGAGCTTCCATGCAGGTGCTGGGGATGCAGAGGAGAAAGAAGGGCAAAGTCCTAGTCCTTGGGCTCCATTCTTGTGGGGGAGACACAAATAAGTATGCATTTTTGTTAGTAATGCAAGCTGTGAAGAAAATAGAGTGATGGTCAGACAGGAGAAGCTAGAGTGCCTGGGAGAAGGGACCTTCTGATGAGGTGGTGGAAGGGGTCCCATCTCTGGGAAGCTCCAGGGGAACAGTTGCCCTAGGGGCCCTGAAGCTGGTGGGTTTGGCATAAGGGAGCTTGGTGTGCTGGAGAGGTGAGTGTGGGTGAAGGTCAGGGGAAAGTGGTAGAACCAGGGTATATTTGGAAATAGGACCAATGAGATGCATAGGAATGACTAGAAGGGGTGGGCGTGACCTTGGCTGGGGACCCAGAGTTCCCTGAAGCTCAGTTCTGCCACAGGAGATCCATCCACTCAGGTTGGAGGCCGGGGTCACTGGAGCATCTTGCCCTTGCCCTCCTGGAGCCCATGGTCTCTTGGCACGGACATGGAACAGTTGCTAGTGGTGTAACATGTATGTGGTAAAGAGCACGTGAGGATCACTCCACGTGGCATTTCAGGCTGGCGAGACACAAATTTCCTGTCCCCAAAGTAGAACTTGGAACAGTTCTTTTCCTTGTACTAAGGAGCCGTTACCCAGATGGGACATCTCTTGGTGTGTAGAAAACACAAGGAAGCTTTATAATCACCCCACTTTCCATCACTCTGGATGGGTCCCTGGGGACATGACCCAGGTCACCCTCTCAGCGTCTATCAGGACACATGTGGTGACAGGGTTGGGCGTTGACTGGCGACCTAGGAGTCCCCCGGGCGCCCTTGCCTGCCTGGTCTAACCAGAGGAGAGGCTGCCAGCAGCTCACCCAGCAACTCAGCAGGAGGACGTCCTGTGACATCAGCTACCTCGTCTGTGGAGGAAGGGGGAGTACTGGAAGGGACAGATCGAGCCCGGAACAATGAGACCTTGAATCTGGACAAGGAGGTCAGATGGGAACAGTCAGGGAACAGGCCTTCCAGAGGGCTGCCGGCGCTTGCTTTGGACGGATACACTCCCGGCTGCCACCAGAGGGCGCCAAAGTGCAACCCACGCAGGCAGCCGTGTCTGCTGCCGGTCACTGGAGGGAGGTCCGCGTGGCTAAGCAAAGCCAAGCCCCGTTCCAGACACCCGGCAGCCCACCCTGTAGGTGCCAAATCCGGACTTTGCCACCCTATGTCCTTTCTTCTCCGAGGACTTAGGGCCAGCGACACCTCCTTCTCCACAGATGCCTCTCGCAGTGCAGTGGTCACTTAGGGAGACCTTAGCCCACCTTCCGGTCTCCACAGGCGGTGATGTCCGCTAGGCAGGTCTGGGAAGAGGGTCACTTTCTCCAGGACGTCGAAGTGACATGCTCCAATACATACACCTCAATTATTCATTCAGCCAGATTTACTGAGCACCTACTGTGTGCCAGACGCTGTGGTGGGTGCACCTTGGGATCAACAACATTTGTCTGCAAAGGGCCACATGGTAAATATTTTAGGTTTTCAGGTCATACAACCACTCTACTCTGTCTTTAGAGCAGAAAGCAGCTCTTGCCAAGACAAACAAATGAGCGTGGCCATGTTCAAATAACATTTTTTGGACACTGAAATTTGAATTTCATATAATTTTCATATGTCACAAAATACTATCCCTTTTTATTTTCAACAATTAAAAAACATAAAACCATTCTTTTATATATAGCTCTGGAGCTATGTAAAAACAGGCAGTGGGTGGATTGGCCACATACACAGGCTGGTGTGTCCCCGCTCCCAAGTAGAGCCTGCCCTGGAAGGGAGACCCCACCCAGGAAGAGAGAAGACCACGGAGCATGAGCCTGGTGGTGAGTCCCTCACCCAGGAGAGGATGTTGGAAATATGAGTGAGCAAGGGGTGCTGAAAGTGTGGGGAGGGTCAGGACTCGGCAATAAATGGGATGGTCAGAGAGAGCCTCAATGAGACAGGAAGTTGGAGCAATGACTTTTTATATTACTTTTAAATCATTTTGATAGGACAGGTAAATTAGGAATCCATTCTACTTAAAACTCATTAGAACAGGTAAATTAGGAGCCCATTCTACTTAAAACTCATTAGAGAAGACCCTGATGCTGGGAAAGATTGAAGGCAGGAGGAGAAGGGGACAACAGAGAATGAGATGGTTGGATGGCATCACTGACTCAACGGACATGAGTTTGAGCAAACTCCAGGATAGTGGATAGTGGACAGTCAAGCTGTTCCTGCTCTGGGGCGCTTTGCACCTCGAGGCTCTGGCAGCCAGGCCCTCTCTCCTGAGTTTCCAGCTGGAGCAGCTGCCATTCGCTAAACAGGAGGATGAGGGCAGCAGCAGAGGGTGGCCCTAGGTCAGGTCTGATTGCAGAAGTGGCCCCAGCAGGTCCCTTCCTGTGCCCAGGGGCCTCATTTCTGCCCCTTGGCCCAGGCACTGACCAGGCAGGCTGCATTACCACAGATCTGGGACCTGGAACTAGGCCCATCAGAGGTGTGAAAGCCACACAGCTAGCCCCTAGGTGCTGTGAAGACTGTTGCCACGGTAATGCCTTCCTGGTCCCCTGTGCAGCCACGTAGACAGATGGGAATATCAGCCTCCTGCAAACAAAGGGGCCTGCTCTGTGGCCCAAGAGAGAGCCCAGTCCTTGATGGAGGCTGCTACTTTAGGCTCCTGGAGGCCTGGCCACTTGGATCCTGCTTCCAGAAATGATCTGGGAATTAGCTCTTCAGCTCTGCCTCCTGCTGAGGCCGGACCCTCCCCAGGCTGCTCCATCATGCCCCATCCCCAATCTGTTGGTGTCTCCTGGGAATCAGGCCTTGTGGTGGTGGTGGGGGAGTGGTTCCCAGCAGATGGGCTATGTGGAACTGCAGCCAGCTCACCCACCAGCCAGCGTTGGCCAGGCTCACCCGTCAGCCAACGTTGGCCAGGCCAGGAATTCTGCAGTGGCTCCAACACAGTTTCTGCCCTAAGGGGGCTCATGGTCTGGTGGGAGACACAGACAGGTGAATCACCAGGTGATTCTTTATGGGTGGTTTATTTGTTTGAATAGGTGGTGCAGGCATGTGGTTAGAAACTGCAAACTGTGTGGAAGGCTCTGTGCAAATCTCCCTCTTGTTCCTGTCTCCTGCTCTCCTGCCCCTCCCCAGAGAGCAGCGCTGTCAGCCAGGACCACTCCTCCGGAGATGGTCTATGCATTCAAAAGCAGATTTCCTCTAGAAACAAAGCAGAACTTAAGCTGCATCCTGCACCGCCAGCAGCCTCTGTCTGCATTTTTCACTGACCAGCATTTCTGGGAGATAATTACATAGCAGTATGTACAGATCCACCCAATGCTTTTCAACAACAGCAAACCCATAATAATAGCAAGAACTTATACTTACTCTGTGCTGGACGCTCCTCTAAGCACTTTATTTATATTAACTGATTGACTCCCCTGAATATTGGAGATGGACACTCTGCTTATCTCCCTCCGCAGGCAGGAGACCAGGGGTGCCCATTGTGTGGTGTGGCCTGAGTGACTCTCATGACCCCTCCTGATGGACACGAAGGACATTTCCAGGCAGTGAGCACTTTTATCTTTGGGCACATGTGTGTCAGAGGATGAATGCTTGGAAGTGAAAGGCTAGGTCAAAGGGCAGGTACATTTGGAATTTGCATAGCTCTTGTCCAATTACCCTCTGAAGAGGTCACACTCCCTCGGTTACTAAGGTGGGACCTCCCCCTCCCGCTGCCTTTATCTGCCTTTTCTACCTTCGCCAATCTGATAGTAGAAAACCATCTCCTCTCATGGTTTCCCTTCGAGTTACTCTTGTGACAGAGGTTGAGTGTCTTTTCACACAAATCAGTACAATCTGGTGTGCTGTGTACTCAACTGTTTCAGTCGTGTCTGACTCTTCGAGACTCCATGGACTGCAGCCTTCCAGGTTCCTCTGTCCGTGGGATTCTCCAGGCAAGGACACTGGACGGGGGGTTGCCAAGTCCTTCTCCAGGGGCTCTTCCCCACCCAGGGATCAAACCTGCGTCTCTTATGTCTCCTGCATTGGCGAGTTCTTTCCCACTAATGCCATCTGGGAAGCCCAGATTCTGGTAGAGTCAGAATTACACAGAGCGAGGTCCAGAGGGGCTGGGGGCCAAGAGGCTGGAGTGGTTTTGCAGTCAGCAGTGAGGGTAGAGGTGGTCCTGGAGCATTGCCAGGGTCATGCGAGCTGGCCTGGGCGGTGGGACAGACAGAGGGAGGGCATTCCTGGTAGAGGGGAGGATCCAAGCAAAGGCTCAAAAGAATGGAAAGCCAAGCCGGAGGAGCCCCTCTTCTCATCAATGTCACCTCTATTCCCCGAGGCCCGAATCTCCAGCCAGGCTGTTTCCTCTGCTCCCACACACAGCTTGAGCTAAGCCTTGGTTCCTGGGGTCTCTGCCCAAGCCTCTTCAAGGGTCCTTAGAGGGGAACCCCCGCCCAAGATCTTAGTAGGTAGCCTCCCTTGCCCCTCTCTGCCCCTGCCTCCTCTGTCCCTCCCACCCATCCCCGCCACCAGCCGAGTGAGCGTACATCCTCATTAACACGGTTCAGTGGCCAGCGCGGGTAATTGATCTCCCACCAGCCCAGTATGGACAGCAGCTAATGGGGATGAATGGCGCAGGAGGTGCCTCTGAGGGACGCTCACCGG